AAAGTCGAAAACTGTATCCCAATTTGGGGGGGGGGGGGAAAGTTGAATGAGTTCTTGGGAGGAAGTGACTCCTATTCGTCCTCACTTTAAGAAAACAAACAAACCAACAAAAGAAACGCTAAAATTCTAATTAACTTTCTCTCTCCCTCCTCCCCCCACAACCCTCGGTGCGTATTTAAAAGGTAGAAGAAGAAGAAAACAAGGAGGGGAGGGTGAAAAAACACTGCTGTCTTCACAAGATTGAAATCCAAACTCTGTGAATCTGACTTGGAAGTATTTCCCCGCAACCTCAAACTCTCAGCATGTTACTACCGTCCAACAGCCAGGTACGTCTAGTACAGGTAACAAAAGGGCTGTGCGCCTCCTCCTCCGCCTCCTCCTCCTCTTTCTCCTTCTCCTCTTCCTCCCACTCCTCCCCTACCTGCACCAGATATGCAGTGAATGGGACGGGCTTCCAGCCTGAGCTCAACACGTGTAGTTGTTGTACAGAAAACTAACGAGGAACGAAACGGAATGGCCTTTTTATAAGCCTTAACTGGGCACTTGCAACATCACGACTTTGCCCCGGCAGTGTGGGCTGCCCCCCTCCCTCTGTGCTCCCTCCGCCCCCCCCCTCCGGATGGGCCACACCACAACAGTAAGCCCAGTAAAAAAAAAAATCCAAATGGCTTTCCAGCTGTTTGCCTTACAAGACAACATAGCACTGCATGACTAATAATGAGTAATTATGATGAACTGGCTTTTCTGATAAATATGTCGCATTTGTGCCCTTTTCTGTCAGACCCACTGGGGGGAACAGTATAGCGAAAACAGATTTTTATTTATTATCGAGTTGTGAATTTTGTCCAGATGTATAAATAAATTCCTTGGGGGAGTCAACACTTAACTCCCTCTGGTGGCAGTGAGATGTTGATCTGAGTCTCATCCAGCCTTTTTCACGTTCTTAATTTAAATACAGCAATTGCATTTTTATTTTGTTGTCCCACTTGACATATACTAAGCCTTATATTGCTGGAAGGCTTTTTTTTTTTTAATTGCATCAAAACCAACCAATGACGTTGGAGGCCAAGTAGCAGCAGCTTGCATACAGTTCAGTTCAGCTTCACTAAATTTATTGTAAAAGTGTTGAGACTCAATTGAGCTTTTCCACATTTTGTCAGTTGATACAAAAGTCACTGTCTGTTATTTTGATTTTATGTAATAGACAAAAAAAAAGAAGTGCATACGTAATTGTGAAGCGGAGAAAAAAAATTAGACTTTTTTTTATATTATTTTGTATTAACCACCCTTTAATCCACTGGCGCTAAATAAAATTCTGTGCAACTTTAATTCCTTCAGGTTTAGCCAGGAATCCTTCTAGAAAATGATATAAATTTTTCTAGTGCATCAAAGTTTTATTTTAAATGCAGAAAGGTTTTTTTTTTTTTTTTTCCTGTTTCATATGCTGACATTCTGGGGAATGGTGAAAATCGCAACTATCAGGTAATGCCTCAAAGAAAATCCAGAATTTGTATCAGTACTGGTATTGATACTGGCCCGATCAGTGCATCTCTGGTTATACTGTAAAAAAAAAAAAAATATATATATATATATATATATATATATATATATACATATATATATATATATATATATATTTAAATGATCCCCAAGTGGTCTTGTCATATTTTCAGTTTCTGGAGATCCCAAATTCTGGTCCTCAGGGTCCAGTGGCTTGAACATGTTTTACGTATTTCCCATCTGCCACACACACAACTAAAATGAATGGATGATTATTGATGATGTTGACGATGTATTGCAGTCGCTTGACTCATTTATGCTGGAGCAGAGGCGGATCTAAAACCTGTTGGGCCAGGATCGGGGACCCCTGATGTCGGAGACACAGCAAAAAACGTGGGAGAAGCCGTTACAGGGAAGCTTGGGGGGGTGGCATCTAAATGCTGCGAGGACGCTTTTCTTTTGAGAGTTACAATGAGACGACCCAACTCCCAACTGAGAATCTGTGGCAAGATCCGAATACGAACCCTGACGCTTTGTAAACAGAGTCCACCCACGTAAATACGTGTAAGAATATGCGCCAGTCGGAGGAGACCAAACTGAACTTTCTGGCTGATGTGCAAAACAAACTCCACACGGCGTCTGAAATACATCGACCCCCTTCATAGGGATTTGACTGTGGTGATGCTTTCAAAGTCCCCGACATTAAATAGATTTTCACAGACTCACTCTGTCCAGTCGGACTGGATTCAAACCCTCTTTCCAAGGAAGAACGGGGAAAATCCTTCCACCTCTCGACGGTATCGACACATACAGTAAGCGAAGAAGGGTTAGCTTTTTTGGACGCTGCAAAAGTCTGACTTTAACTTTTGCATTCTTTTCATTTTCATAGTCCAAACTTGGCTCCGTAAAATAACGCATGACACGACTCACCCTTTCCAACCATTAAAAAAAAAAATGAACATTTGCTAACGTGTTGTAATAATGACAGCATAAACTAAAATTACAGACATGAGTTTCCTGAGTGCACAGACTGTGAGGCTGTTGTTCAGCATGAGAAACAGACAAAACCGCAGAGACCTTTTGTTTCAAGACATCCCCGCTTTTATTGTCTTGAGGCCTTGTTTCGTTCAAAACATGCCCATCAAAATTCCAGATGGATTTTCGAAATAATCAAAGTCAACTCCAGGGAACCAGGGTGACATAAAAAAAAAAAAAAAAAGACATCCATTTGATGTCTACCCTGTAAAAAGATGGTGTTGTTTGTCCTCGAACGTTCCTAAATCACAGGCCTGGGTGGAGATGGTCCCTTTTAGTTTAATTAAAATGTTCAAAGGCCCAGCTCCGTTTTTATGGTGGCTGGATGAAGACCGGGGACAGTGTGCGTCAGCGTTATTTGTCACCCCGCCGTTGTCACTGGAGACATGTCACACGCATCGACGCTATGCTCGTCGACGGCGTTCCCAGTGCACTGGTCGTACACAGTCCCCTTGGGGCCCTTCCTGGCTCTTTTTTTTTTTTTTTTTTTTTTTCCCCCCCCGGGGGCCGGAGGCCCCCCACAACAAACCGGGGAAACACGGGCCGTTTTTGCTCCCGGCC